TGTTGGTCTTATGGGGGACCATCGATCACCCTTAGGGATTCGCTACTGTGCTAGTCACGGTATCGGGTACTGACAGCCCAACCTGACGAGGTACACGAGTCGTGTATCTTGCGAAGCCCCTCCTGTCCATCCACCGCTCAGTAGTGGGGCTCCGCACTGCCGTAGTGAACTATAGGGGGTGCCCTATAGGAATCTACCTTGGCTTGGGGCTATAGAGAGATGTGGTTAAATACAAAGTGTCCACCTTCCTATCACCAATTGGTTTTAGGAAGCATTTGGCACCTCTTTAACTTCAGAACGATTGTTGGTCTTATGGGGGACCATCGATCACCCTTAAGGATTCGCTACTGTGCTAGTCACGGTATCAGGTACTGATAGCCCAACCTGACGAGGTACACGAGTCGTGTATCTTGCGAAGCCCCTCCTGTCCATCCACCGCTCAGTAGTGAGGCTCCGCACTGCCGTAGTGAACTATAGGGGGTGCCCTATAGGAATCTACCTTGGCTTGGGGCTACAGAGAGATGTGGTTAAATACAAAGTGTCCACCTTCCTATCACCAATTGGTTTTAGGAAGCATTTGGCACCTCTTTAACTTCAGAACTCTGTAGTTAAGCGTGCTGGAATGGGAGTAGTCCCTGGATGGGTGACCCACTGGGAAGTTCCAGAAAACGATCCTACAAGATACTTTAGGATATTGATAAATATTCCAGGTGTTGACAAGGAATTTGTCAGGGGGTTTTCTCTCTCAAAGCATTGTATGCTCTCTTTATACTGAAGCCTGTGTGGCCCTAGTTCCAGCAAATGGTGTTGTGTTGGTTTAGGTGGAATAGGTTATAGGCAGGGGGAGTCAGTGGGTTTGGGTGGGTAATTGAATCCCTTGGGATATCTTTTGTGGATGAAATTTGCCCAAAAGGAGTTCTTGTGAGTGTAACTCCACCACATTTTCAATCCATAGGAGTCTTGAAGGGTATCCAGATTGTAAATGCCCAGTCCTCCTTCCTCTTTAGGGTTGCAGATGTCCTTCCATGTTGCCCAGTGATATTTTTGGTTGTCTCCTTTAGAACCCCAGAAGAAATTGGCCATTTTTCTGTTGAGGCATGTAGTGACACTTTTAGGGAGTTTGGTGGTTCCAAGGATATGTAGAGGAATGGAACTCAAAACATGTTTGATTAGGATAAGTCTTCCACTTTGGGAGAGCAGGTGCTTAGTCCATCCTTGGAGTTTCTGATCAAAGTGTTCAAGAATGTCCCCACAGTAGTTTTTCCTGTTGATTCCTCTGTGGATTTGAGTGCCCAAGTATTTAAAGGGAAAGAAACCTCTCTGCATGTTTAGGATTTTCCCCATCTTAGAGGCTTGGGCTGTGGGTGTCTTGTCAGGTGTGTAAAAGAAACTTTTTTGTAAGTTGATAGCTTGTCAAGAAGCCACCTCATAATCTTTTAGGAATTTTGCCAGTTTCTGTAGATTGCTAATTGAACCATTACTGAAAAGAATCAAATCATCAGCAAAAGCAAGATGGGATATGGGTAGTAGGTGTCTACCCATGTTGTAGCTTTTCAAATTCCCATTGTTGGTGTCCACTTTGAGGGTTTTGCTGAAACTTTCAGCTGCTAGGATAAAAAGGAGAGGAGATAAGGGGTCACCTTGTTTTAGTCCTCTTTGGGGTTGGAAAGGTTTGCAGGGGTAACCATTGATAAGGATAGAGTGATAGGTTAATTTGAGAAATCATATTCATCCTCAAAATCAGTCTTATCCAATGTGTATTTAGCATCAAGTGCTAAGTATGTCATCTCCATAGCTTGGGCTTGTTTGAGTTTTAGCTTAGCCTTCCTTTTTTGTTTTTTGCTAAGCTTTGTATGTGGTTCCAAAGGGGGAGCTTTAAGTTGAATTTTTCTCTCTTTGATTGTTGGGCAGCTTTCCTTGAAAGCAGAGCGAATGCCCTCCACGGTAAACTCATCCTCAGATGTGTCTACTCCCTTAATGGGGTGTTCTTTCCTTCCTGCAGATATTAACTTAGCCCTACTTCTAGTAACCATGTGAGATGGTGAAAAGGTTGACTTACCCTTGTTTAATTTAGGGAGCTGCATTGACACCTTAGAGCATCTAGAGGTGTTTATTCTAAAGGGTTGAAGAATGGAATCAATAAACACCNGCAAACAATAATTTGGAGCAAGAGTGTTCCTGCCATATCCCTCCCTCATTGCTCAATTGTTCCAAGTCCCCTTCAAAGAAATTGGAGGTCAGGGGAGATTCACTTTCCCAGCACAGTAAGGATTTAGAGATTGAAACAACTTGGTGAGTTTGTTCTTCGATTGGATACCAATCTCCACAGTTGCCTGATTTCCCAGAATGTGGTTGGACCCTAAAATCCGAAGCCATTCCAGTTTGTGTATCCAGTTTTGATTTCTCCCTAGCTTTACGATAGAAGAGTTGGAGGTTTTTGACAAAGTTTTTAATCAACTTGAATTGGTTCCCTACTGGAACATAGACCTTTCTGCTGCCTTCAACTCTTTTTTCGAAAATGATTACTTGATCACACTTTACGGTGAGATGACATCCTACGTATATGGGATTGACATCCTACGGGATTGACTCTAGTGAGATCACACTTTACGGTGAGATGACATCCTACGGTCAGATGACGCAAAGCTCACCACTACAAGCTGCAAAGCTCACCAAGGACAACTACAAAGCTCACCATATTTTTTCAACACTTTGAATTTTTTTTTTTAAAAATATAAAATCAAAGAAAGGGGTGCTGACTGGACTTTGACCGTTGACCGAAACCTTTGACTCCCACTTGCCGCCACCGGACACCGCAGTCGCCAGAATCTGCCGTAACCGGAATCCGCCGTCGGCCACAGGAATCCGCCACCGGTCGCCGGAATCTGCTCCAACCGCCAGTCGCCAGAATCTGCCACCGCCCCTTCCCCGGTCGCCGGCAACCGCCGTCGCTGACAGGTGGTTGACCGGTGTTGCTATTTTATTTTTTATTAATTTTAAATATTTAAAATTTAAAAAAAGGTGAGTTTTGGTGCTCAAAGTGGTGAGCTTTACTTTATTTCTAGGTGAGCTTTGCATTGTCCATTGATGAGCTTTGTAGTGTAGTGTGTTGAGCTTTGCGTCATCTCACCAAAGCATGTCATCTCACCGGAGTCAATCCATATATATATATATATATATATATATATATATATATATATATATATATATGACAATCTGTTGTTTTCTTATATACCCAACCTCATTGGAGAAGCGGATAACAATATGATTTGCACCATCCCATTTGAAGAGGAAATTAGAGGTGCGGTCTGGGACCTCAATGCCAATAGCGCACCTGGGCCAGATGGATACAATGGGACTTTTTTCAAAACCTTCTGGCACATTATAAGGGATGAAGTCGTTAGAGCAACTCAGGAATTTTTCTTGGGACTGCCAATACCTAAATCCTATGGGGCCACTCTCCTCACGCTGATTCCAAAGGTGGAAAACCCTAAAACCCTAGGAGACTTCAGACCAATATCTCTTTCCACATTCCTCTCTAAAATCAATACCAAAATATTGGCCAATAGACTGGGTTGTCTTCTCCATAAACTCATCAGTCCTGAACAAAGTGGGTTCCAAGCAGGTAAAGGGGTGGATGAAAACATACTCCTCACCCAAGAGATGATCCATTGTCTAGACAATGCATCTGGTAATGCCAACATTGCTATCAAGGTGGATTTTGCCAAGGCTTTTGACAGAATCTCCTGGCAGTTTCTTGAGAAAGTTCTCAGCTCCTTTGGCTTCTCTCACCAATCCAGTAACCTGCTCTTATCTACTCTTAAGGCAACTTTTTTCTCCATCCTCATTAATGGATCACCACACGGTTTCCTCAGGATGATGAGAGGGGTCAAACAAGGAGACCCCCTCTCCCCCCTCCTTTTCATTATTGGAAATGAAGGCTTAAGTAGGTTAATCAAGGGTAAGATTCAGGAGGGCTTCCTGAAATCCATATCCACAGGGAGAAATAGACCCCCCTCACACCTAGCCTATGCGGATGATATTATTTTCTTCCTGAATGGACATTTCAGAAATCTTCTCAGATTCAAAGGGCTCTTAGACTGTTTCCTTAAAGCATCGGGCCACCTCACAACCTCAACAAGAGTCACTTCTACACAGGATCAAAGGTGAAGCTAGATATCAAAAGCAACATGCGAAGAGCTCTCAAAATGGAAGAAGGCAAGCTCCCATTCGTGTACTTGGGGGCAACAATTGGCAAAGGGAAGATTAAAAAAGAAGATTGCATGAAGATTATATTACACTTTGATGCATACCTTAACACTTGGCATAGCAAGGTTCTTAACCAAATGGGGCGCCTGATTCTCATTAAACATGTTTTAAGCTCTATTCCTTTACATATTGTTGCTGTCCAACAGATGCCAAAGTCAGTTCACAGCTGATTAAACTGAGTAAAGTGCTACAGTCCAGAATTCTTGAACAACAGCTAGAAGATGGATTCTGTGAAAAAGGAATCCCTCCTCAAACAATTGGGTATGTCCAAACACCCACTCCAATGAGGAATCCTCAATCACAATCTTCATTCAAAATTGAAGCCAGCAAATGCAACGGATAGTCTATTTTGATTCAACGGATAGATTATACAATCCAGCTATAAATAGCAACCTTGGAAGACTGGAGAAAACAACGATGAGATAGACGAACACAACGAAGCAATCTTTAACAACAAAGTTATCTCATTCACAGTTAGCCCAAAAAGCTTGATAAAGAGAGATTTCTAAACTCCTTATCCAGAAGCAAACTTTTCCTCCTTCCAAAGAGCTATAGTCTAAACACTTGAAGGTTTTCTTGCCTCAAGTATCACACCACGTTGAAGGATATAACTTTTAATCAAACTTCTTGATTAAAAAGGGGGAAGATCAACTTTCTCAAAAGTTGATCTTGCAAGTCCTATTGTTCGGATCTTGCAGTCTCAAAAGTTGATCTTGCAAGTCCTTTGGGGGTACATAGATGGAAGGCCAAAATACCACTGGAAATCCTGGAGAAGTTTATGCTACCCAAAGTACGAGGGAGGGTTGGGCATCAGGCACCAGGAAGATGTTAAAGCTGCCTACTCGGCCAAAATATGGTGGAAGATTAGAAACTCCCACGGCCTATGGGGAGATTATATGAGGAGCAAATACCGTCCAGCCTCATTTCAAGAATGCCCTACGGATACAGCGACTTGGAAGAGGGCTGCACGAATTCATACTTGGGCTATTCAGCACGTCCACAACACAGATGATGCCGGAACATGGGAGGGAGAACCTTTCACCACCAAGATTGCTTATCACTCCTGGAGGGAATCCAAACCTATTTCTCTCGTTAGCAAGATGGTTTGGAACAAACTACAGATCCCAAAGGTCAGTCTCTTCATGTGGAAAGCTCTCAACTCCATTCTCCCATTCCCGGAAAATCTAGCCAGATTCAACCTGGCCATCCCCTCTCAATGTAACTTCTGTCACCATGGGCCCTAGGACCTAAACCACACACTCATCCAATGCCAAATGTCAAACAAGATATGGAGATTTTTCTCAGCTCTTTTCAATGGTCCTGTGGTCAATAGGGCAGATACCCTTAATGATACATGCATGAAATGGTGGGTTAGCACACCTAGGACCAAAATGCAGGATAGACTTAATGCTGTACTGCCGAGATTCATTGCATGGGGATTATGGAAGGCTTATAATGCTGAAAAATACGAGAGAAAGGCCTTCAAAGAAGGGACAATCATAGCTACCACTTTGAAGACAATCCAGCAATGGATATGGATTCATAAGGAGAAGAAATGGATGAATCTGGACGATAAAATGAAATCTTTTGGGTTCTGTTTATATCGCTGTAGAATTAATCTTCATTACTTAGATACCTCGTAATTTTCCATGGTGGGTAAAAGTCATCTACCACATTGCTGTAAACAATTCTCATGATCCATTAATAAAAATTTCTTTCTATAATATATATATATATATATATATATATAATTTCATGATTATAAAAAAATGGTTCTAGAGAGAAGAGAGAGATTTCCGGCAACGGTGCCGGAAAATCCTCAGGCAGGTCCTAATCATAATACACAATACAAACCATTCATCAAAGACTTCAGTGATTTATTCAAAGCTACAAATACTGGAGCAGTGGGTACTAAATCAGGTTTCTACAACGGCACACCATCAGTCAGTTTTACAAAAGAAGAAGAGGATGTGTTGGAGAAAAAGCTTCATCACGCTGCTGTGGGCAGATTCAATAGCTACATTCATCTACCAGCCCTCAAGGAGTTCCTATTGAAAGCTGGCTTCCATAACTTTAGGATCAGAAGAATATCTTCAGCACACATATTGTTCACCTTTAAAGAAGAAAAAGATTATGTCAGATTCATTCTAAGAGGCAACTCGTATGTCAATAAAACTCATTTCTACGTGTTTAAATGGACACCTAATTATAGTGGAAGGGAGGACAGTCCTATTCTCCCTATCTGGGTTACCTTAGACAATCTGCCTCTACATTTCATTGACTTCCAAGCCCTTTTCACCATATCATCTCTGTTGGGAAAACCTATTAAGGTGGATGATCACACCATTAATAGAGATAGGAGGGAGCAAGCCAGAATTTGTATTGAGATGGATATTTCACATCCCCCTCCCCCCTTAATTCATATAAGAGCAGGTGGAAATAACCTCTTTGTCAATTGTATCTATGGTAGAATCCCTCCATTCTGTAATAATTGTAAAAAACTTGGTCACAAAGAGGGTGTCTCCTGCCCCAACCATAATCAGAAAGTCACCGGAAAGACCTCCTCCGGCAAGGGAAAAGAGGTTCTTCAGTCAGAGCATTTTCAGTCCTGGATAGAAACCAAAAAGAAAAGGACACACAAATCTAATAATGATGCTCAAACTGCCACCACAAAAGAGAAGTCACGACCCACTTACCACTGGAAGGCCAAGGATAAAATAACAAACTACTTTACTCCACACATCCTTGATCTACTGGATATGCAGGAGAACTCCATGGACCCACTACCATCCTTTAGCCAGTTGGACCTGGTAACACAAGAGCTGTCAGTCCCCACACCTATGCATTATAAAGAGAATGATTTCCACTTTCCCACTCTTTCAAAGGCAAAGGAATATGTGGCAAAAACAACCAGACAAATACCCCTCTCTCCCACAACTTTATCTCTCTCTGATTTTTCATCAAAGGTAAATCCACTCAATATTATTAGCTTTAAAGGATCCTTGGATGACTTCCTACACAATATTGACCCTGACTTGGGTCTTAACCCACCTGGTAAGGGGGTGGGACCATCTAATACCTCCTATTTGGACCCAGGAGAATATGGAACTCACTCAGATGATGGTGAATTTGAGGAAATCAGGGATACGTCCTCAATTGAGCCTGTTAACTTCAGAACCCCATCAAAGGATTCTTCATCATTATCCATCCCAAAGGCAAAGAAGAAAAAACAGTATGATTCTCACAGAACAATTTTCACTAGGAGTCTCAAGGGACACAAAGACTTTTCTCTCCAAAGTCTTCAATGATTGTGCTCTTTTGGAATGTTTGTGGAGTTAGATCCTCTCTCAAAAGGATCAAATCTCTTATACATATGTACAGAATTAATTTTCTAGCCATCACTGAACCTATGGTTGATCTCTCTCAACATTATTCCTACGGAATTAAACTTGGTTTTTCTCAGGGAGCCTTCTCTAGTAACAACAAAATCTGGGTCTTCTGGAACTCAGAGTTTCTTAATCTCTTTTCTTTCTTGGAAAAGGACCAGTTTATAAGCTATCATTTCCAAAACCTCTCAACTCACACCAACATTACCATTACTTCTGTGTATGGGAAACACACCAGTAGAGAAAGGAAAACCTTATGGAAAGATTTGGAAAATTACACTACAAACTCTGAGTAGGTTGTTGGGGGGGATTTCAACACTATTGCTAACCTTTCTGAGCAAAAGGGTAGGATACCCCCCCTGCAAACTGACATGGATGATCTCTCAGAATGTCTGGAAACCTGCAAGCTTACCAATCCTCATTTAATTGGTAATATTTTCACTTGGTCAGGTAAACGAAGCACGGGTAGAGTCTTTAGAAGACTTGACAGGGCAGTGGTCAATGAAGTCATGTTGGACAATTATGATGATATTACTGTGACGCACATTAACAGTACCACCTCAGACCATAAACCTGTTAGAATAATAGACCAACGCTAGAGGGGGGGTGAATAGCGTTTGATCAAGAAATCGCAGGAATAAAAATGAATAAGCGAGAAGTAAAGAGAAAAGAACGAGGCACACTGATTTTACCCTGGTTCACCACAACTTGTGGCAAGTCCAGCCTCCCGAGAGACTCTCTCGAGCTACACTACTATCTCGTTAAGGTTAACAGTGCTTAACAAACCCGTACAACTTGAGAATTCGAGTCACACGAACCTTAACGAACCTTCGAAGGAAACAACCCTTCCTTCGAACAACAAGAGAAATACCTTCTCTTGTCGAGTGTCTAAGAACACTAAAAAAACTCAAGAACAATACTCTCTTTTAGAGTGGATAATGAGTAAACTAAGAACGCTCAAGAACACAACACAGGCTTCACAAAAATGGCTCTCAAAAGCTATGAAAAATTGAAGAATGATTTGCAATGAAAGAGTAGGAGTTGTGAAGTAATGTGATGTGTAAAACAGACCCAAACACCCCATTTTATAGTAGAAAAATAGGCTCCAATGGACCAAAGTATTTAAGGGGTGATTTGCATAATTTGTGGGATTTGATTAAAATTGGATCTGCTGAAAGTCACCCAGACAGCGCTGTCCTAGGCTTGGACATCGCTGTTCTAGGCTTGATTTTTAAAAATTGGGAAGCAACGGTCATGGCAACAGCGATGTCCAAAACCCCTACATCGCTGTTTTGGCTGTTGACTTCCAAACAAGGAAAGTTTTAGCCTTAAATTCCTTCCAACGGTTAGGTCTCTACATCGATGTTCTATCCTAGAACATCGCTGTTTAGGTCTGCCTTTGGAGATGGAAGTTTGGCCTGACAGCGCTGTTGCTGGGTCAACATCGCTGTCCAAAAACTTTCTGCCAATGCACTATATTTTTGGCTTAGGTTGGACAGCGCTGTAGGGAAGCCTACATTGCTGTTCCAGAAGTTTCTGGAAATCCAACCTTGGCTCAACAGCGATGTCTAGTGACCAACATCACTGTTGGAAGACTTAACGCCAAACCATGTTTTTAGCTACCCAGTCCAGACAACGCTGTTGATTACCTCAACATCACTGTTGGGCTGGTTTAGCCAGACCCATGGTTGGTTTAGTCACGCCGTTAGCCGATGTCAAAAATGCAAGTTCTCCAAAATAAGAACCAAGTTTAGAAAACATTTTTTTATTGCATTTTGCTAAGAGAAAAAGTAAAACATCTTCAAAACCACGTAATTTAGTTGAAAACCACGGCTAACCAAGTTCGTGCCGTTTCGCATGGTTTTTACTAAACGACAAAAAACGGAGAGTGGTTTTTGAGGCGTTTTTGTTGGAAAGCTAATTAAATATGCCCAGAGGTAAAAACCAGTCATAAAAAGTTGAAAACCACTTGGTTGGTTCGAACGCCAAAAACCAATGCCGAAAACCGAAAGCCGAATGCCGGTTTCTGAAAGCTGAACGCCGGATGGCTTGGTTTTTGGCTTGGGCGAACTCCAAGTGTTTTGACCCAAGTTTAAACTTAAGAAAAATATTTTTGAATATGTAAAAGAGATTTTTATGAATTGAGCCTAGAGAGCCAAGATTTGGAATTTTGTGCCGGTCTTGATCACATTAAGACCGACTCAATACGATTTTAGTTCTTCGTTCTTGATTCTGGGTTCTTGGTTCTCAAGTCATCATGCCATGTTCCTTCGCCTTAGTTTTGCTCACTTTAGCTTCGATATGTCGCGGCGGTTTGGCATTATCAAAACCTGTCATAAAAACCGAACACAGTTTAGTACGACGTAAGGCGTAAACCCGTGTTCCAACA